GAACGGAGGAACGAACCGAAAAAGCGAGTGCAATGTGCCACTTCTAGACACGACTGAACAACTGAGTCACTGCGAACACGCCGACAATCCAGCGACCCCAGACAGCACCCTCCCTACACGCCACAACTGAACAAAGCCCAGAGTCACCGTGAACGAACAAACAAACAAAGTCCCACTGACCCATCCAACTGTTGTGTTTCCTTTATAGTCCAGTGTGTTTTATTTGTGAAAAAAGTTCAAAAATAGACCATTTAATGACAGTGCGCCTTATAATCCAGAGCGCCTAATAGTGCAGAAAATACAGTACATATAAAAAAAATAAAGAGAATAAAATATAATTAACAAAGACTGTTTGACATCAACCTGCTCAGGAACTGAAGTTGGAAATGGTCCACATTGGCTATAATCTTTACATATTTACATTTTTAAATATTCAACAATATGTGCTGTCCCTTTACAAAATAAAAACATAAGAAATAAAGGCTGTTTTTTATGAGGGACGTGATATAAAGCTCTAAATTTGTATAATACTGCAGCCCGTACTGGATCAAACACTGGACTGGAAGTCCCAGTCCTTACTTCATAATATATTACCCAGTATTATTTGGTGCATTGCAGTTTCTGGCTGTTCTTTGTTCAAATTAAGTGAGCGTATTTTCCAAAAAACTGAAACTGAATCCTCTGAAAAAAGAAAAAGAAAAACGTCACATTGTGGTGTTATTAAAATACTTTAAAATGACTACTATTGAAAAAACAAAACAGAAATGCAGTGTGGATCTGTTTTGTTTTTTTTTTCTACAGTTTTTGTCTTTGGAACTTTTATCGTATTGTGTCCAAGTTTATAATAACACCAGTCCACACTATGTTCCTCTGTCATCTCTGGTTAATAAAATACTGCAATATTCTATTTCACACAAATCTGGAGCATCTGACATTTTCAAACTCAGCCTTATTGTTCTGTGCATCTTCCTGAGACGCTGCTGTGAGTCAGAGCTCCCTCCCTCCCTCCACACAACTCACTATAGTGACATTTGTAAGCCTGCGTCACCACCGACTTCCTCCCACTGTTCAAACACGTATGAAAGAAACCAACGGGAACGTCTCCGATCACATTTTCTATCTGTTATTTGTCTCTAAAGGTGCAATTATGTAACTCTTCCGATCTGCCACAAACGTAACGTAATCTGAATACTTTGGATTACTTGATTTGCTGTAGAGTAGCAAGGACGAGGAAATGTTAAAATAAGATGTTTTGTCTGCTAAAAGACGATACTTAACAAAATTTTTAAAAATATATCTTGACAGAAGTGGAGGAAACACAGTCCACGCGGCATGGTTTAGTCCTGTTAAATCCTGTTTTAGTCTTGGTTTAGATCTAGTTTAGTCCTGGCTTAGACCTGGTTTAGCCCAAAATGTGAAAACAGGAAAATACCACCGTGTAATCCGTTTATTTCAACAAAGTAACTATAATCCAATTACCATTCATTTAAACAGTAACTGTAACTGAATACAGTTACTCATAATTTGTTCTGATTATGTAACTCCGGTACATGTAATCTGTTACTCCCCAACACTGTGTATTAGACCAGCTGACGATACAGTATGTGATATGTCTCTCTCTCTAAAACCTTCAAATCAGGCAAGAAATCTAGGGGTAATAATGGACTCAGACTTGAACTTTAACAGCCACATCAAGTCAATAACATCTGCAGCCTTTTACCATCTAAAAAACATAGCGAAAATCAAAGGTTTACTGTCTAAATCAGACTTGGAGAAACTTATCCATGCGTTTGTCTCCAGTAGGTTAGATACTGTAATGTTCTGCTCACTGGTCTCTCCAAACGAGCTGTGAGACGCTGCAGAACATCCAGAACACTGCAGCTCAGGTCCTGACTTGAACTAGGAAGTACGAGCACATAAGTCCTGTGCTCAGGTCTCTGCACTGGCTCCTGTGGCTCAGAGAATAGACTTTAAAACAGCTCTGCTTGTACAAGTCTCTCCATGGCGAGCACCAAAGTACATCTGTGACATGTTAGTGTCATATGAACATCTCACACTCTGAGGAGCTCAGGGACCGGCCTCCTGCTGGTGCCCAGAGTCACGACTAAACAAGGGGAGTCAGATGTTCATTATGTCTTCTTATATACTTTAACTTCTTAGGTCTTTTTAAAGACAATGCAGTAAAGTGTATTTACCTTGTTGACATGTTTCGGCTGCTAGCTGCAAGCCATCTTCAGAACTGTCACCGGTGTTGGTGGTGACGTGTCATATATCAGCTGTTGTTACTTCCTGTTACTTCACACACGAGGAGGAGAAAGATGGAGCCATATCTTTCTGGACATTAAAATCCACCACATTGCAGACGGCAGCATCAAAATTACTGTATACCGGAAACCTACACACACTGACCAATATCTGCTCTGGACATCCGAACACCCCACTGCACACAAACTTTCAGTAGTATAAGAACACTTTCGAACGGGCCACACTCATCACAGACCAGACGACAGGGAGGAAGAGGAGAGACACATCATACAAGCACTCAAACAATGTCAGTATCCCAGCTGGGCCATAAACAAAGGCAGACAACAAGTTATCAATAAAACCAACAAACCCCGGAAAAAAACACAACAATGCAACACAGGGCAGCAGGACCACAAGAACATAGTCACACTACCATACATCAGAGGAATAACCGAACCCATCCAGAGAGCCATGAAAAAACACAACATAAGCACTGTAGTAAAACCATACACAAAACTCCGCCAACTACTCGTACATCCCAAGGACAAAATCCCACAAGAACAAAAATGCAATGCCATCTACGAAATCCAATGCAAATCATGCAATAAATCATACATAGGGGAAACAGGCCGGGCATTCCACATCCGAAAAAAGGAACACCAAAAGGAATGCGAAAAGGAAACGTCAGGGAGACTCACCAGAACACAAAAAGACAAAGCAGAACAGGAAAACCTAAAATCCGCCATATCAGACACTGTAAAAGGAAACAACCACATTATGGATTGGGACGGGGCTCGGATCATTGGATCGGAAAACAACAAGTTCAAACGCTGGATCAAGGAGGCCATTGAAATCAGAAAGCGAGGCATGGACAGCATTAACCGTGATGACGGAGCGTTCCTCCTTTCACACACCTGCACCTGAGAACACCGGCGACGGGAGGCGTGGTCAGTCTGAGCGACCTGCCAGGTCCATCAGGCTGACACGCCTAAAGTAACAACAGCTGATATATGACACGTCACACCAACACTGACAGTTCTGAAGATGGCTTGCTAGTAACAAGTAAATACACTTACTGCATTGTCTTAAAAAGAACCTAAGAAGTTAAAGGGAGTCAGAGTTTCAGGTTCATGCAGCTAAAACCTGGAACAGTCTGAACATGTGAGACAGACTTTCTGTGACGCTGTTTAAATCCAGACTCAAACATTTCTGTTTGACTGTGCATAAAACTGAAAGGTTTCATTCCGCACTCTTCTCTCCAATTTATGTCTCTCTTTTTTTTTTATTTTAATATGATTTTAATGTATTTCTTATTCTGTAAAGCACTTTGAATTACTTTGTGTACGAATTGTGCTATACAAATAAACTTGCCTTGCCTTGCCTATGTTAGCAGTACAGTCCTATCTAATCTAATTCTAAATCTCAACCCTCAAGCCTACATCACCCACACGGCAATTTTGCATAAATACACAAAAGCAGGACAGAAAATATTACACTACAACTTCACAAACCTGGTCTGATGTTAGGGCTGGGTATCATTAAAAAGTTGTCGATACGATACATATCTCGATACAGTGCACTTTCGGTTCGATACGATATATTTCAAATCAATTCGATACGGTTCAATCAAAAATAAAGGCTAAATCATGGCTGTGATACTAAAAGTTTTTGCTAAACCACTTCTTGTGCAAAGTTAAATTGAAACACAAACATTTTAAATCATCAAAACAGTGAAAATGTCAAAGGTGCTGCATAAACAAGCAACAAAACTGTAGCTCTGTAACAAAATATTTGAGTAAACTCTACCAAAAAATACTCTTGGTGATGTATTGATACAGCAGCCCACGATATCGATACTGTATCATCACATTAAATGATACGATATATTGATATTTAGATATTTTTGCACACCCCTATCTGATATGCAGTAGTTTCAAAAACATAAGGGCCCGGTCAAGCAGAAGTAAACAGCAAGGCCAAAAATTCAAGTTAATGCATCTGATATAAAAATGTATTCAACAGATACATATGTACTCTAGTTTATGAAACTGTTTACCTTTTTTCTGTACCATTTTTGGTTCTTAAGTTACATACGTTTTAAACATACCAAAAAAATTTATTTAAAATGATAAAAATTTGCTTGGAAGGACTGACATATTTTATAGAAATAGTTTCCTTTCATTTTGAAGTAATATTAAAGAAGAAGAAAGCGACAAATTATACAAAATCCTGCACCTTCTACTTGCTTGAACAATTTTCCCTCCGTTACTTTTCCCTCCGTTACCATGACCTTTCTTAATAAAAAATCTCATTAATCAAAAAGTAAGAGGTTTTTCAACCTAATCTTGTACCATATGGTAGAAAACTATATGAAGCAAATATTCAAACCAGTTTGTTAAGGATATGTAAGTGAGAACCAAGAGTTATCACTGTTTGTATTTATTGCCCAAAAAGTGCTGCATATTTCATTCCCTCCGTTACCAACATGAGTTTTAAAATTTTTTGTCAACAACTTGAAAGAATATCACAGGTTTAACTTGACCCTGTTGGAGTGTAACTCTTTCCTACATTCTGATACTTTACTTATTTCAATAGTCCCTCTAGTTTCTGAATAAGAGACATTTGAATGTAAAAAATCTGCCCCTGTTTCCCTCCGTTACCACTTGACCAGACCCATAACTGAAAATGGATTAAACATGGTAAATGAATGCGTTGTTTTTGGTGAATATAGCATTTTCACACTAATAAAAGGTAACATGGTGATCTAAATATTTTAAGTGTTAGCAGTAGATACCTCAAAAAAGTGTAGTACCTCTTTTTAAAGCTTGTAGAGACATCACAGGTGTGTAAAACTCGGCCCTCACGCCTTAAAACAATAAGGTTTGAGGTTTCAGTTCCCCGTGTATTTGAGATAATGTGTCTGGCTTGAATATTTTGAGCAGGTGCTGAGGTCAAAATAAGTCAGCTGTGTCCCGTCTGGATCTGAAGTGGCTGTTGTGGAAACTGTTGACAATAAAAATCCATTTGTGAAGCCTCGGTGAGTTATGAAATAAAAAAGGTTTATTTTTTGTTCTAACAGATTGAGAGGTAAGACAGAAATCACATTTAGAGCAAAACAAAACATTGAAAATGAGCTACTTCTGTTTTTCATGTTTCAAAGACAGTAGAAAGTGACATCTTTTTACTACTACTACAAAAACTACTATAAATACTACTACTATAACTACTACTACTACTACTATACTACTACTACTACTACTACTACTACTACTACTATACTACTACTACTACTACTACTACTACTACTACTACTACTACTACTACTACTACTACTACTACTACTACTACTACTAACTACTACTACTACTACTACTACTACTACTACTACTATAACTACTACTACTACTACTACTACTACTACTACTACTACTACTACTACTACTACTAGAACTACTACTACTACTACTACTACTACTACTACTACTACTACTACTACTACTACTACTACTACTAGAACTACTATTACTATAACTACTACTACTACTACTACTACTACTACTACTACTAGAACTACTACTACTACTACTACTACTACTACTACTACTACTACTACTACTACTACTACTACTACTACTACTACTACTACTACTACTACTACTACTACTACTACTACTACTACTACTACTACTACTACTACTACTACTACTACTACTACTACTACTACTACTACTACTATACTACTACTACTACTACTACTACTACTACTACTACTACTACTACTACTACTACTACTACTACTACTACTACTACTACTACTACTACTACTACTACTACTACTACTACTACTACTACTACTACGAACTACTACTACTACTACTAACTACTACTACTACTACTACTACTACTACTACTACTACTACTACTACTACTGAACTACTATTACTACTACTACTACTACTACTACTACTACTACTACTACTACTACTACTACTACTACTACTACTACTACTACTACTACTACTACTACTACTACTACTACTACTACTACTACTACTACTACTACTACTACTACTACTACTACTACTACTACTACTACTACTACTACTACTACTACTACTACTACTACTACTACTACTACTACTACTACTACTACTACTACTACTACTACTAGAACTACTATTACTACTACTACTACTACTACTACTACTACTACTACTACTACTACTACTACTACTACTACTACTACTACTACTACTACTACTACTACTACTACTACTACTACTACTACTACTACTACTACTACTACTACTAGAACTACTACTACTACTACTACTAAACTACTACTACTACTATACTACTACTACTACTACTACTAAACTACTGTAACTACAACTACTACTACTACTACTACTACTACTACTACTACTACTACTACTACTACAACTACAACTACTTCTACAACTGCTACTACTACTACTATAATTACTATAACTACAACTATATCTACTCCTACTACTACTACTACTACCACTTCTACTATAACTACTAGTATCACTACAACCACCACTACTCCCACTACTACTACCACTACTCCCACTACTACTACTACTATAACTACTACTACTACTACTACTACTACTCCCACTACTACTACCACTACAACCACCACTACTCCCACTACTACTACCACTACTCCCACTACTACTACCACTACTACTACTACTACTACTACTATAACTACTACTACCACTACTACTACAACTACTCCCACTACTACTACCACTACTCCCACTACTACTACTACTATAACTACTACTACAACTACTAGTATCACTACTACTACCACTACTACTACTACTACTCCCACTACTACTACCACTACTACCACTACTACTACTACCACTACTACCACCACTACTACCACCACTACTACCACTACTACCACTACTACTACTACTACTACTACTACTACTACTTTTACAACTACCACCAATACATCTTTTTTATTACAACGGACATTGCCAGAAGAGGTACTACTACTACTACCAGTACTACTTAAATCTGTGTAATCCCTCAGTGGTCCAGGTTGGTTCCAGTGGTCCATGGAAGTAGTTTATGCGGGGGTACTTGTTATTATTCCGTTATGTAATACTGCTCATCTGTGGCTCAGTAATCTGCACGAGGGTTTGTCCTGGTGCTGACAGCCCAGAGCACACAGAGCCGCTGATACATGTAAACACAAACGAGGTCATGACCTTTGAACCCTGCTCCTGCGCCTTATGTGACCCCGGCGGCGGCTGTCATGACGTTCCCTCTGCGTGTGACCCTGTGGTCTGTCCGTGCTCTTGACTCATGGTTCAGCTACAGCCAGAGGAACAGACACTCAAGAGAATAAAATAAACCTTAGACTATCTCAATCTGTGAACAAATGTGTGAAGTATGAACCAGGAAAAGCACGATATGACTTCTTTAAAAGTTCTATATTACACAGAATTGACTCTTGTGAGCTTTAAGTTATGTTATAATGTTGAAGAAGCAGAAAGGAATTGTCTAAAATGTGCGCGAGATTAGACCACATCCGCAAATTTAGGCTGCTTAAAATGTTTTTATCAATGCCAAATAAAATATCCAGCACAAATGATGTATGATAGAAACATGAACTATTTGTGTATTTTACTTTACACTCATATTTTGTTTGAGGGACTGCAGTTTATCATTCCCCCCCCCGCTCCTGCCCGCACCCTCAGTGAGCTTTCAGAATGTGTCCCACACCACACTGTTTTGCGTCAGGTTCTGTGGGTCTCCTGTGGGTCTCCTGTGGGTCTCCTGTGGGTCTCCTGTGGGTCTCCTGTGGGTCTCCTGTGGGACCCATGCAGGGCTCTAACCTGATGTTTCATTACCTGGTCCCCGAAGGTTTGACCAGGTTTTGTTTTCACCTTGTGTGTCTGTGTGTCTGTCCGACCGAGATAATTCCGCCATTTATGGACCAATTATCACCAAATTTGGTACGTGGGTTAAGCCTCCGTGCCCAATGCGGCAAAACAAGTTTTGTGACGATCCGAGGTCATTTGAGGTCACATGGGTCAATTGAAAGGTCACGCCATTATAAAGAATTGGCAATTTTGACACTTTCTGAGTGTGAATATTTTTCTGGGCTAAAATATTCACCCAATCATCACACAAGTTGGCACACACATAACCGGGGCACACTGGATGTTACAGGTTGAAACCGGTCAAGGTAACCAAGGTCAAAAATGCGTTTTTGGTCATAACTCCGCGAAGGATGGAGCTAGAGCAGCGGGAGTGTCTCAAAAGCTCAGAAAAAAAATGATCTATTTATAATTCGATGCATTTGTATAGTAAAATATTAATAGTTTTCGAGATAATCACTAATTATAAAAGTTCCTTTCTCTTTCAGTGTTTGCCGTTAAAATTCTAATTGGAACAAAAATAATTTCCATTTCTTTTTTTCTAGTGATACACAACACACTGATCTACAGTCGCACAACTAACATATACACAAATCATGAAAAATTACATTTTCGTCACACACTAGTAAACACAGACATTCTCATGTGTGACCAATATCACACAAATGTTCATGGGCCTGTACACATACACACATAACATTGTGGATATAACGATCATGTAATATGGGCTGGGCTCCTCATAAACTGCTTCTGTGGTGATGAACTGACCCCACCGATGCCTCATGGGGACCAGGTTGCTATTTCTGATTGCACTTGTTTTATTTGTATTTTCTAATTATTTAGAGTCTGACAAAAGAACAGAGTGGAATGTAAATGACTGCATCTATTAAAGTTTGTTAAACAATAAATCACCTTATAAAGTCACTTTTTTTGGTTATATATCAGTCTTTTGATCTGCCACAACACTGTAATAGAGGTATAACGATATCCAAGTCTCACGATACGATATCCTCACGGTATGAACCTCACTGTATATTTATTGAGATATCATAGGAAAGCTCACGATATGGTGGGGAGGCACATGATTAGGGATGTAACAATATCTAAATCTCTCTGTAAAATATTTATTGCGATATTTTGTGAAGGCTGCGAACAAAACTGTAAATATGCAACTTTTTCCTCTTAAAATGCCTTGACAAGACTTAATCCAAAGAACTAAGTCTTAAAAGTGCTTAGAACTGTTATTTCTTCTTGTAGTCTGCACTGAAATGGAGCAAAGGATCATGGTCTATGTAGTTCCCTCTGTCTTTTTTCTAGCTATTGCTGCACCATAACTCTTAATTTAAGCAAAGAGACTTGTAATTCGATATATTGTGATAGTCCGTGTTATTATTGTGAGAACTTTGACGATACGAATATCATGATATTTTGTATATTTATATTGTTATATTATTTATATTGTTACATCCCTATATTGTAATAATGAATTTAAATGAAAATATCTCAAGTTCAGGGCTTTTCTCAGCAATTTTTAGGTGAGATTAAAAAAGAGATTAATTAATTACAGATCATAATTAATTAATCTCTCGTTTTTTTAATCTCTTGACAGCACTAAATAATAGATAGGAGTGGGTGACACTGTTTTTAGTGGCAGGATAACTATGGCCATTGACATGCACTAGCCTAGCACCAGTGACCTCTGCAAATACAAGGACTGGATGGAATATTTAAAAAAGTGTCTCCACATGTCTCCAACACTCTGGCAAACTAGGAAATGAGCTCCTATGTCCAAAATATAGGACTGTCCCTTTAATGCCCCATAAAAGTGCAATAC